GATTCACCGACTACTCTCATCGTCTTCCGCTTCATACCTGATACCTTTGGCTGCGGATTCACCGACTACTCTCATCGTCTTCCGCTTCATACCTGATACCTTTGGCTGCGGATTCACCGACTACTTTCATCGTCTTCCGCTTCATACCTGATACCTTTGGCTGCGGATTCACCGACTACTTTCATCGTCTTCCGCTTCATACCTGATACCTTTGGCTGCGGATTCACCGACTACTTTCATCGTCTTCCGCTTCATACCTGATACCTTTGGCTGCGGATTCACCGACTACTCTCATCGTCTTCCGCTTCATACCTGATACCTTTGGCTGCGGATTCACCGACTACTCTCATCGTCTTCCGCTTCATACCCGATACCTTTGGCTCCTGACCTCGGCTTGTTCGCTGACTACGCTTCTACGAATCGAAACAATTTTTTGTGCCCATGTCTACAATGTTGGTCCTCTGTTGGAGTTCTTTTGTCTCTCTCCATCTATGAGACATAATACCGACAGATACAAGAAAGGGGCGTTTTATATGAGGAGCCGCTCTGTAGTGCGACCCGTACGGGAAGGTGAAAGGCTCCGATGGAAGAAGGATGCTGCGCATTATTTGATCCTTTCAGGGCCTGATGAGTGAGGTGGGTGACCATTGGCCTGGACTGGAGCCTGGTTTTTGAGGCCTAGAACAATGAAGCCCGGGGATGGAGATGCCATGGAGGAACTTCAGCCTCAATAATGAGCCTGAGAAGCTTGGTGGAGGATCGGCCCTTGACTAAAGTATAGTGATTTCTCCCCAAAGAGACGCTAGCTACGATAACGAGCACCTTGCATCCAGGGGCCCAATTCACAGAATACTGGGCTGGCTTCAGGGCAGGTTCACACCATTTTCTGGACCAGATCTGGAACGCACTGCGATGTGTTTTGCCACGCTTTTGACACGTTCAATTTTAGGTCTTGCTGGGGGGACGTCTGCAAGACCTACAGATAGCCAGGAACAGAGCAGCCCCATGCTGGCCCATAAGAGGCATGGACTTACCACAGTTGTTCTTTCCTCAAATGATCATAGCCAGGGACACCCTGGGCAGCAATGCCCCTCCCCCCCCATAGAGAGACGCGCGGCATAGAGAGACGCGCGGCATAGAGAGACGCGCGGCATAGAGGGACGCGGGTACAGAGAGACGCGGGTACAGAGAGACGCGCGGCATAGAGAGACGCGCGGTATATAGAGACGCGGGTATAGAGGGACGCGCGGCATAGAGGGACGCGCGGCATGGAGGGACGCGCTGTATGGAGAGACGCGGGTATAGAGAGACGCGGGTATAGAGAGACGCGCGGTATAGAGACGCGCGGTATAGAGAGACGCGCGGCATAGAGAGACGCGCGGCATAGAGAGACGCGCGGCATAGAGAGACGCGCGGCATAGAGAGACGCGCGGCATAGAGAGACGCGCGGCATAGAGAGACGCGCGGCATAGAGAGACGCGCGGCATAGAGAGACGCGCGGCATAGAGAGACGCGCGGCATAGAGAGACGCGCGGCATAGAGAGACGCGCGGCATAGAGAGACGCGCGGCATAGAGAGACGCGCGGCATAGAGAGACGCGCGGCATAGAGAGACGCGCGGCATAGAGAGACGCGCGGCATAGAGAGACGCGCGGCATAGAGAGACGCGCGGCATAGAGAGACGCGCGGCATAGAGAGACGCGCGGCATAGAGGGACGCGGGTACAGAGAGACGCGGGTACAGAGAGACGCGCGGCATAGAGAGACGCGCGGTATATAGAGACGCGGGTATAGAGGGACGCGCGGCATAGAGGGACGCGCGGCATGGAGGGACGCGCTGTATGGAGAGACGCGGGTATAGAGAGACGCGGGTATAGAGAGACGCGCGGTATAGAGACGCGCGGTATAGAGAGACGCGCGGTATAGAGAGACGCGCAGTAGAGGGACGCGCGGTATAGAGGGACGCGCGGTATAGAGAGACGCGCAGTATAGAGACGCGCGGCATAGAGACGCGCAGTATAGAGACGCGCGGTATAGAGAGACGCACGGTATAGAGAGACGCGCAGTATAGAGACGCGCAGTATAGAGGGACGCGCAGTATAGAGGGACGCGCGGTATAGAGAGACGCGCGGTATAGAGACGCGCAGTATAGAGAGACGCGCGGTATAGAGAGACGCGCGGTATAGAGACGCACAGTATAGAGACGCGCGGTATAGAGAGACGCGCGGTATAGAGAGATGCGCAGTATATAGACGCGCAGTATAGAGGGACGCGCAGTATATAGACGCGCGGTATAGAGGGACGCGCGGCATAGAGAGACGCGCGGCATAGAGAGACGCGCGGTATAGAGAGACGCGCGGTATAGAGAGACGCAGTTAGCAATCAGCCCCCGCAGTGCGTAACATGCAAAGTCCATGGAGTTCAGCACACAGCTAATAACAAGCCGGGTTATACGGCAATTAGAAGAGTAAGATCGAAACGACGAAAGTTAGTACGGATTTCCGCTAACGGATTTCGTCCGAATTCCCAAACGAATTGACTTTCGGACCCGAAAAACGAAACGAAACAAATGTTTTGCTGGTGCGCATGTCTATATACAAACAGTCCCATCGAATCCGCCCATTTTTCTTCATAACTCCGCCTCCTGTTCCTCAGAATCTGTGTCCTCTACACATCAATGTGCTGGATAGAGGGGGACACTGACTAAGGGAGTGTAACGAACGTACCCGTCGCCCGGTTCCGGCGCGTCCCGCGGCTCCGTCGGGGGAACCCCCGCGACGGGGTCACCAGGAAAGACGTCACGCGACTCCTCCCCTTTCCTCTTCGTAAGGCCGACGGGGTCACTTGCCTGGCGTTCGGGCGAGTGTGTATGACGCCGGGCAAGGACCTCCTAGTCTCCGCACCGAACCTCTCACTATTGGGCCGGACGAGTGCCCCCTTCTATCTCGCCCCAGCAGCCACTTCCTCCCACTCAGGGCTGCGGGAACTCGTTCCCCTGACTCCCTCAGCAATCACTCCCTTTGTATGGGGGATGAAATAACCAGCAATTCCTTGAATAGCCTCCGGGGGGCGCCGTGGGAGCGAATCTTCACAAACTGCAAGTACGCGGTCTCAGCTGGTTACACCTTTATTCAATTGACTGTTACAATCCAATTACTTGCTATGGGATGAAGACGACATCTGTACATTCCGCCTCAAGTTCCGGGTCATCAATACATTGCTCCGAACAAATACAAACCCGCTGCAAATCTCTACCTCCTTTCACTGACATTATCAGACTGCTTACATTAGAAACGCCATACAAACCAAGCGACCGCACCAATTCTGAAGCTGAGATCCACAGCAACACACCCGGAGGGGCCGAGTACATTACAGGGAGGCCGGCAGACTTCAGGTCAACTAATGCCAAGTACCAGCTACACGCTGACATTGTCTGGAGCTGATTGGATAGTTGATCTCAATGGCTGCAATCATGACATTCCTCCTGGCTTGGTGAGCGACTCTGAGATAAGACGGCCGGAACTTTTCATGTTTTCCTTCAGCCAATCAAATGGTCACAATGCGTTCTCGTGGCCGGTATTCGAGCTTCTTCCAATCATCTTCCTGAGACTACTCTAGAAGCAGCTCTACAACTCAACAATTCCAGAATCTAAAGACATTTCCTGCGGATACATTTATATAACTAATGACACTTCATCTATTATTGGTGGTCAGTACACGAGGTCAGCAGGAGACCCAGATATGACCGTGTACTACCGTCTGTTACTTCCTTTCCATTCTGTAGCCGTGTTTGTGGCCTCAGACAACTTCCAGGCTGACAATCGGGTTGAAGGTTTCAGTTCCTCTCATTATAGTAAGTTGGTTCCATTTCCATCTCTGTACGATCCCTTCTCCTCCTCGTCCTCCTCTCACTCCCATTCATCTTCCTCAGGTCATTGACCATACAGATGAGGAGAACCGTGTAGAGGACACAGACCGCACCGTGTGACAGGAGGTGACCCCAACGTGACGGAATTCCTGGAGATAAAATACGGAGACACCATGACAGAGTTATACAGAACAACAACATCACATATCAGACCGTCAGATCATTCAGGAGGAAATGTATCAGGAAAGTCACACATGATACAGATGTCGCTGGTCCGAGATCATTCAGTAACATGGAGGATAGAAGGAGATTATCATCACACAAGGACAGCGGGCCGGGTGAGGACACATGACCATGTCAGAGAGTCACCAATCACATCAATAAACACTTCCACAATGTCTATGACCCCTTGTGAGGGTGGGGGGATGGGGATCACAGCTGCTTTATAAGATCTACTGACCTCATACCGGGATGGTAAATGGTCCTGGAATGGGAAGAATTACCAGGCGTTGTGTGCCTGGCGCCTGGAATCCTAATCACCCAATCAGCACAGAGATCTTCCAGCATGGTGATGGTAGTGTCATGGTCTGGGGCTGCATGAGTGCTGCCGGCACTGGGGAGCTACAGTTCATTGAGGGAACCATGAATGCCAACATGTGACATACTGAAGCAGAGCATGATCCCCTCCCCCCGGAGACTGGGCCGCAGGGCAGTATTCCAACATGATAACGACCCCAAACACACCTCCAAGACCACCACTTGCTATAGAAGCTGAGGGTGAAGGTGATGGACTGGCCATGTATGTCTCCAGACCTAAACCCTATTGAGCATCTGTGGGGCGTCCTCAAACGGAAGGTGGCGGAGCGCAAGGTCTCTAACATCCACCAGCTCCGTGATGTCGTCATGGGGGAGGGGAAGAGGACTCCAGAGGCAACCTGTGAAGCTCTGGTGAACTCCATGCCCAAGAGGGTGAAGGCCGTGTTGGAAAATAATGGCGGCCACACAAAATATTGACACTTTGGGCCCAATTTGGACATTTTCACTTAGGGGTGTACTTACTTTTGTTGCCTGCGGTTTAGACATCAATGACGTCATGGGGGAGGGGAAGAGGACTCCAGAGGCAACCTGTGAAGCTCTGGTGAACTCCATGCCCAAGAGGGTGAAGGCCGTGTTGGAAAATAATGGCGGCCACACAAAATATTGACACTTTGGGCCCAATTTGGACATTTTCACTTAGGGGTGTACTTACTTTTGTTGCCTGCGGTTTAGACATCAATGGCTGTGTTTTGAGTTATTTTGAGGGGACAGGAAATGTACTCTGATATACAAGCTGTACACTCACTACGTTACATTGTAGCCAAGTGTCATGTCTTCTGTGTCGTCACATGACATGATATCATCCAATGAGAGGGGGGGACTCACTTCTGGGAGATACTATAAGTCCCCCATTCAGGCCCCTCCCCTGTGCCATTTCCGGGTGCAGGAAACCACTAATCCAGCACTGCAGCACCTGATGGTCCCCTCGCACTGAAATAACTTCTCTTCTGGATCCTCACAGGAGCCCACCAATGGAAGCCAATAGGATGTGATGCAGGCAGTGTAGTGGAACCCCAAAGAAGGACCCCACCTTCCAGGAGAGAGGACTCGGGATTGGAGTGTCAGGTGACCACGGCTTTAGGTTGGTAATAAGATCCTTTAGATAAGTTCTCTTTTTCTAATGCCAGCGATCAGTTTGGGATATTTGTCCGGAGATATTTAACATCAACCCAAAACCCAACCAAACCATAACCGGAAACATAACTCCATCCTAACCTTCAAAGCAGAGATGACACAGCCCCGGTGCTGTATTATAATGATGAGGAACACCACACTGGTATATACAGAGGTAAAGGACACACGTCACTCACCTGGACAAGGCTCACGGATCTCATTGGTGGATCTCTCACCGATATTGTTCTTCACCAAGCAGCTGATGTTCCAGGAATCGGGAGGTGACACCGGAGGCACAGTGACACGGACTGTCCGCTCTGAACTGGTGACGTTATATCCCTCCGATCCTCCAATCACAGTCAGGAAGATGGAGAGGTCAGTCCCCTTCTCCACCCTACAGGAGATCTCAGAGCTGCCATTGTGGAGACACGTCACTTCCAGGACCGGATCCGATACCGGAACTGAGACACACAGAGAGGGGGAGATGTCAGTGTCTGTGTCAGGAACTGAATTAAGGTTTCTTACCCCAAATACTGAATAAGACCCATCTAGAGACAGATCAACCGGCCACACCAAACTGGAAGTGTCAGATATTAGGGATCCATAGAAGCCAGATGTTCAGTTCCAACCAATCAGTGAGCAGATCACATCCACCCTGCAGAGGGTCCGAGTCGGCTCCCCCTCCCATAGTGATGTCCAAGCTACATAAGATGGCACAGATCTCCCATAAGGCTGTGCACCAAATCTATATGTCCCGCTATCAGCTATTGTCCAATCACTGACTGGAGGATGGCCGGTGGAGGAGATCATAGCGGTCACTACATGAGAGACACTGAACACGGCGTCATTACCAATCACGTCATTCTCATTGTTATGAAGAATTTTCTGCTTCTCGTTTCTACAATTATAGACAATGTAACCGATCCGACATTCCCAAATCCGACATCATCCCATTATTATTATTATTATTATTATATCCGAGTCCTTTGTGTTAGGATGTAAATATAAATCTCTGGACCGGTCTCTCTCTCCCACTCACCTGTACAGGAGATATTGATAGATGTGCTGAGATTATTGATCTGATTGGTGACATCACAGCGGAGGGTCCCGAAGACCGGAGGGGGAAGAGTTACCCAGATCTCTCTGGATTTTGATTCTTCATTAAATCTCCAGGAATAACAGGGATCCGATCCTCTCACTGAACAGACGGCCTCTGCACTGCCATCCGGGAGACAGGAGGAGCTCACAGCGATGTCGGAGAGGGGGACTGGGGGGGACACAATTCAAGGATATGATTGGTCAGAGCAATGACATAGAAACTCAGACTTATCACAATGGTCATATGGAAATACGGAGGCTTCCAGTGGTACCCTCTCCTCCTGACAGCGCCAGTTACCTGGTTGTCATGCCGATCCTCTGACCACACTAAACACTGACATGAAATGAATATTTAGCTTGGGAACTCTGACTTTGCTCTGACTTCACTTGGTTCATGCTTGTTCTGGAGTAGAGATCAACTAACACTAGAGACAACCAGGAAAGTATCATCAGCAGTGAAGTCCCCGGTATTCCTAACCATTGCCCAAAATATTATACTTTATACAGCAAAGAAACAAAGAAAAGTTGGATAAACAAAAGACCCCCCTCCCCCCATATACAGGAGCATATCTCCAAATCCAGGATGAAGTCATTCCCCCTCCCCCGAGGTTATATTGGTGTATGATGGTTTCCCCGTAGCTGAGCAGTATGATCACCACGTGGAGGAAACATTCAATGAGCACTTCCCCCCTACTGATTGTAATGTGATAAACAAGATCCATATTCCCCTTTGCTGCTTGTTGAGAGAGGCAGAACATTCACCATCAGTCTGTCCAATATGGTCACCATCGCCCTCCTTCTGCTCTGGAGGATAATTCATGTGCAGAGACCGGGCCCTTCACACTTGTAGTGTTCCTAGTTTAGTTTGGCATTGGGTTTGCTGATTGGCTGTGACCAGCCTGAGCTCTGTTTGCCTTTTTCTAGGCTCTCCTGGTTCTCCTAAGCTTCGTGTGTTGATTGCATCTGCCTGGTACTGTTATAGAGGTTCCAGTAATCACTGAGTTATGAATATTTGTCTGGCCCAACCAATCCCTGAGGTCCTTGTTCAGAGGAATAGTTTTGGAAGATGATAAATATTTGGGGCACCATTCCAGTATGTTCTTCTCCTGAGGTTTACTCTGGGGAGGATGCGTGTCTACAAAGATATCTACGTGGGCCAGCCTCAGCCTGGGGCATGTGCTGAAGGCCCCAGGATTTTAGCTGCCTCGCTGGAGTGGATCTCCATAGGGAGCTGGGTGAGAAGATGGCTGCCTGGAAGGAGAATCTGTATCTTCGTGCTGAAGAGGAGCCGGGTTTGAGCTACTGCTGGACACTGTAAGAAGGATTCATCGCCCTTCAATGTAGGGATCCTTCACTGCTATCCATGTCAATGGCCAGAATGATTAGAGGGATCCACTGCAACTCAAGAAAGACTGTGACTGCTTTTACGGGGTCATAGATCTTTCTGGCTGCTCTCACTGGGCCAGCAAATACCAGGAGGCTGCTAATAAAGGGCCTACTGCCTGCGGAATACCGGTCCTAGTTATCTGATCCCTTTGGATATCCCGCACCCCTCAACCCTCTGTCCTAAGATTGAGTTCAGCAATAAAAGGTAAAAAGAACTGACTGGGCCTCAGCTTATTGTTCTCATCGTACGCCAAGAACCAGACCCTGAGATGGAAATGTTAGCCTGCCACACCACTTAGGGGGTCATTCCACATCAACCTGAGAGGAGGAGAGCCACACGAGGCTGTACTCCAAATCTCAGATTGAGTTTTTATAAAGTTCTAGATCGGTTCTCAGGTGCAATGAAAGGGGGGAAGTTGGTTCCGGATCTCCTCAGATCAGAGAGTTGTTGGGAAATAATTCCTCATCTACAAAAAAGGAAAACAAATGACGCTGTTGAAGGGGAATCTGGTTTTGGTGCTTCATAGGATGTCACCTCACTGGGTGAGACGGGTATATAGTATGGAGACATCCTATCGGAAGGAGGATAAAGTGACCGGGGGGGGCGGTCATTTATATTTCTGCTAGGGCTGCGGAAATTAACGATTAATTACCAGATTAATCGTTAAAATTTTTGATCAATTAAAATAATTTTGATCAATAATGAAAACACTCCCCTCTCCGCCGGCTTCCGGGTCTTCCGGAAATGTCCGTCGGAGATCCGGTGACGTCACGGACATCAACGTCACCGGACTCCTCATCCCTTCCCCAAGTGGCTCTGTCGGCTAACGAAGGGAAGGGGGGAGGAGCCCGGTGACGTCGATGGA